AACTTATTTACATAACATATATTTCACATGTTTCCATATTTCTCTGCTTTGGCAGTCTCAGTGGGACGTTCCCTTTCAACGAAGATGAAGATATCAACGATCAGATCCAGAACGCTGGCTTCATGTACCCTCCTCACCCGTGGAATAAAGTCTCCCAGGAAGGTATTTCACATTTAAGACCAAACAGCTGACAAGTGGATCTTAAATTCAGTCCAGTTACTTTTGGTACTTTAACTATATGTTGATGATAATACTTTTCTACTTTTAGGTGTAACTTTTTGGGTAACAGAATGCAGGAATTATACTATAACAGAGTATTCCTACACTCTGGTACTTCTATTTTTACTGAAGTACAAGATCTGAGTACTTTTACTTTACTCAAGATCTGAGTACTTCTACTTTTACTCAAGTACAAGATCTGAGTACTTTTACTTTACTCAAGAGTACTTCTACTTTTACTCAAGTACCAGATCTGAGTACTTCTACTTTTACTCAAGTACCAGATCTGAGTACTTCTACTTTTACTCAAGTACCAGATCTGAGTACTTCTACTTTTACTCAATATCTGAGTAATTCTACTTTACTCAAGATCTGAGTACTTCTACTCTACTCAAGTACCAGATCTGAGTACTTCTACTTTTACTCAAGTACAAGATCTGAGTACTTCTACTTTTACTCAAGTACCAGATCTGAGTACTTCTACTTTTACTCAAGTACCAGATCTGAGTACTTCTACTTTTACTCAAGTACAAGATCTGAGTACTTCTACTTGTACTCAAGTACCAGATCTGAGTACTTCTACTTTTACTCAAGTACAAGATCTGAGTACTTCTACTTTTACTCAAGTACAAGATCTGAGTACTTCTACTTGTAGTCAAGTACAAGATCTGAGTACTTCTACTTGTACTCAAGTACAAGATCTGAGTACTTCTACTTGTAGTCATGTACAAGATCTGAATACTTCTACTTGTACTCAAGTACCAGATCTGAGTACTTCTACTTGTACTCAAGTACCAGATCTGAGTACTTCTACTTTTACTCAAGTACCAGATCTGAGTACTTTTCCCACCTCAAAAACAAAAAAAGAACCTTTTGGAAAGATAAAACTATAAACTGCGTCTTCCCAAGTTGGCGTTTTCAAGCAGATAACTCTGGTACATGATGTTTGTGTGAAAACACACATTGAGTTGCTGCATGGGGTTATTTTGTATTAAAACCATACATCAGCCTTCCTCTACCAGCACAAATAAATAGTGTTAAACCTTCCTTACTGCCATGTAACGCTTTGTTCCACCTCTCTGTGATTTGGTGCTTATTTCTCATCTTCTATCTTCAGGTTATTATTTCCTCCTCCTTCAGGTTTTCTCTGAAGTCTCTCTGGTGTTTCGTGACTCATTCTGTTTTCGTCATTGTCTATAAATGTTGTCTGGAATGGCCCCGTTGACTACGAGACAGATTTAAATCCGCCTGACTCACTCTCCTCGGCTCGTTTCTCCCGAAGTGCCGTTAACCTTTCGTCCACCTCCTCATCCCACTATAGCAACTTCAGAATAAACGTTGAAAGAAAGACGTTTCCTGTGAATAAATGTCAGAGGATAAACTCTTTGTGCGTCAACAAATCTGCATTTTCAAAGATCGCTCAGAGAGAAGACACTTTAAATGGATCCTGTCACAGAACTCATGTTTCCTTCTGCCCACAAACACGACTCGTAACAGGAAGTTTCATAATGGGAACACTTGGATAAAGAAGTCTGGTTTATGATCACAATGCTGCAAAGATATGATCATAGACGGAATATTTTCACAAAAAGATGTAACATGAGGCAGTTTTGGCAGAGAATAGAATAGTCAGTCAATTATGTTGTTTTTATCCAAGTTTATGATTCAATATACTGAGTAGAACATTTTGAATCTAATTCTCAAAGCTTGGTTGCATTAAACCACATGACTCTAAACGATTGAATGGTCTTTCATGCTTTTAGGTGGGACAAAGTCCTCTTTATAAACGGTGGTGTTCGGCATGACGAGCTCAACAATGGTTGAACCAAACTGAGATTTGAAAAGGCAGAAAGAGACCAGAATCCTTTTGAGCAATGGTTTAATAAGAATAGCTTAAATTACCAGTGAGAGAAATTGTGTTCAGATTCAAACAGGAAGTGGTTTCGGTTCCAGCGTCAAATGCACAGTAATGCCTCTAACAAACTGGAATTAATACACAATATGTAGCATTAGGAAAAATCTCTTTTTCAAACCTCAATACTGACTGAAAATGAGTTTAGAGTTATCATTGTTGGACCTGGAGAAACACAGATACACTTGAGATAAGATTTATCCCGAAGGAAATGGTTATACCAGAGTTACAAATATGCAATAATAATAATAACTGTACACTAACAGTGCGGTGAAAAGAGCAATTAAATAACTACAAGAAACATAGACGTCAAATAATTAGAATAAAAAAAAAACTGACAAGCAGACAGGAGTTGGATAGCCTGACAAGTTAATCATGTTTTAATGCAAAAACTAGAAAAGTAACTAAAGCTGTGGATGGAGAACAAATAAATGATGTCCCTTGTAAATGTTTTGGAGTAAAAGGGTAAAGTTTGACATTAATTGGAAATACTCAAGTAAATAATTGTACTTGAATGAATCTGCTTAATTACTTTCCAACAATACAAAATGCATCAGTAAACATTTGTTATAATCCCCATGAAATCTGAGTCTGAAAGCCGTCCCTCGACCGCTGCTTTAGTATTATTGGTTGGTCATGTGACACCTCTGAAAAGAGTAATTCATTGTCTTGATGTCTTTCATTTTTGTAAAGCACTTTGAATTGCCTTGTGTTGCAAGGTGGTGAATTAATAAACTTGCCTTGTCTTGCCTAATGAGAGAGGGGGGAAATATCTGAGAGAAACACCCCTTGAGAAGCGGTGGGTACTTTTTGGGAAAGAGAGTTTCAGAGAGTTCCAGGGCGCATTATCACCAGCCTTGTATAGTCCGGTTGAATCGAACCCTGGTGCGTTTAGCCGCTTGGTTTCGTTTGGGTCGGTGTGAACGCAGTCCGAGACCTCTGAAGTGAACTAAACAACCGGACTCTGGTCCGCCTCAAAGAGGTGGTCTCGGACCGCTTGCTAGTGAACTCTGGAGCGGTTCATCGCTGGTGTGAACGCAGTCCGCACCAAAACATAGGAAGCGTAGATTTACGTGTCACAAGAACGCGGATGTCTTCAAAATCTTTAGCGAAAGAGTCTTTCAAGACATCCGCGGTTGTTCGGTTAAAGAGTGAAGCAGAATGAAGTGTTGAACAGTGTAAAGTAGAAATTCTCCGTCAGCTACATAAAAGTAAGAACACCTGTCGTCGGTGAAACGCCCTCCTTACTGCAGAGCGTCTCTCATTGTATGTGTTATAATGTTTTTAACGGACGTTGTCTGATTATATAATCATATGCGCGGGCCGCTCGTGTCTGTTGCTCTCCAGATTAACAGCAGCATGAGAATAACCTGCCGTTGCTCCATGGCGGAGGCTCCGGTAGAAATTGTCGGGATTTGCGTTTTTACCCCCTTAATGTCTGACCAATGGTTGAACAGCATTTCCGTGCACATGACTTGTGTTTAAAGTTTATAGTCCGTTTGAGTTTTGCCGTGTGAACGCAAACCGAACCTTCTGAAAAATTGAACAATGTAACAAACTGTGTTCTGGTGCGAACCAGAGAAGCGGACTATAGGTATGAATGAGACCTAAGAGAGTTCCAGAGAATTCCAGAGAGTTCCAGAGAATTCCAGAGAGTTATAGAGAGTTTCAGAGAGTTCCAGAGAGTTATAGAGAGTTATAGAGAGTTTCAGAGAGTTCCAGAGAGTTCTAGAGAGTTTCAGAGAGTTCTAGAGAGTTCCAGAGAATTCCAGAGAGTTCCAGAGAGTTTCAGAGAGTTCTAGAGAGTTTCAGAGAGTT